GATATTATATTCTAGTGCGTAACATACATAATAGCATAACCTGAATTCGTCTCTTTTTCTCGTCCAACCATAGCCCATTAATTTCATTTTTCCCCTCTATCACAATGATCTTCATCATCTCTATCTAATTTGATCATGAAATTTTCATTTGCTCCCTCAATTTGTAAATTTGAAAATTTTGATTCTTTAATGTATGCAAATTATAATACAAGAAGAAATAAACAAGAGGAGCTGATAGTTAAGTACCGTGGAAAGAGAGAAATAGATAAGAAATAAAGACTTCGGGTAGGTTTACATGGTGGTGTAGTTGATGGGTGGAAAAGACTATGGGGTTAGAGGCAGGAAGGAGAGAATCATGAGAGATAGAAAAAAAAAGGGAGGGAAAGAGAGAAAAAACTGCTGTTAATTAAAGTAGAGTTAGAGATGATGACGAGTTGCTGTAGGTTTTTATTTTTTCTTTTACTTTTGGTTTGGCTTTTGTGTCCCACATATGTGGTAAATTATCTATTAAAAGAAGGACATTATAGTCATTTTATTGAACCGAGAGAGGTTAGTGTAATTTTTTAAATTTGGGGGGAGCCGAGTGAAATTGTCAGAAATCTCAAGGGAGGTTTCTGAAATCATCCCTTTTTTAGAAACACCAAATTCCCCAGGAGCTTATTAATGTAACTAAATGTTCTGCTTACCGCTTCGATGGCCGCATTTGGCCCAAGACAAAAGTTCCATCAATAAGTAATGGAGGTAAATGAATAACGTGATATCTGACTATACTAAAATGTTGTGAGAGCCAATAAAACGGTACATATTTGGTTTGATGCCTAAGGTCAATAAGACGTTGGCCATTTCTCCAACTAAGTGGGAAATAATTCCCTTTAATGTTTAGACTCAGATTAGCTTTATTTTCAGCGCTTCTTATAAAGTAGAAATACATGTGATCCAGCCTACAAAACCTATATTTGCTGCAAACATTAAACCAAGAAGTTTTATGCCCTCGAGAGGGAAAAAAACTTTTAAATCCCACAGTTATATACTATGTTTATCTGATGATGAACAAAAGTAACTTCTTTATTTTATCATTAAAAAAGTGAAGAATGTGGAATGAAGTTATCAGGAGCAAATCCTTGCATTGAATCTACTTGATCAGAAGGTGCATTATAAAGTTGTAGTAATGGGAGAGAGGCAAAACTGCCGAGAAACTTCGGTCCTCCGGACTGATCCATTTTGAGTTTTCAATTACTTAATTTTTCGTTCAAGTAGAGTAACATAAAGTTAATAGATAGACTTTCTGAGGGCAAAATTTTAAGAAACCAAAGAATTCTAGAGAACCCATCCATTGAATTTTGTATTTTGCAAACTTGACAGGACCAGAAAAGGAACCATCAAGTAGTTCAGCGGAAGAAAGATTAAGTGATAGAAGTGTCATTTTAGTTGTGATCACGAAAGAAGTAAATCAGTATTTTATGGCAGCATCCCATTACATAAACGCAACAAAGCTGTAGGATTTTGAGGTTGAGGATGTTTGAAACGTGTAATGTATAAATTACAATGAGCATGAGCTATACCTGAGATAACAAGGTTTGGATGATTGAGCATTGCGACAATAGTTTGGCCTACAAGTTTTGCACAAGCAGCTGGCTTGTCATTTATTAGCTTAAGGTCGATTTGGTTGAAATTGTTGCACATTTCCTTTCCAAAACTTGATTCTCCACTTAGGAGGATTGATCTTCTTCTTGTCAAAACAATGGAGTCTAGCATTTTAAATGCTAGACTATGATTTTTGTTTTAGTTTGTCCAACAAGTGAAATGGAATTAACAATCATAAGTCCACTTTACCAAATGTGTGTAACAGCACATCAATGCTTTAGGGGGCAAAAAAGTGTTAGAAAAATTGTTGCTTTAATCAGTTTTGGAGAGTCAAGGTTATACAGGGAAGACAATAGATTTTAACAACACAAATATGGCAAAAAAAATATTATTCCCCCCCCCCCTCAACAACCGCAAATAACACACACACCCAGCCCATAAGCGAAACCCATAGTCCAACCCAAAAAGCATGCTGACTTTCAGGCCACACTGAAGAACTTATGAGCTACGCACACACACCACACACAATCGATGTGGGATAGAGGGAACGGAGGAGGGGAAACACCAAAACTATTGTTAAAGGCTCACCAATGGCTTTTACCACTCCTTAATTTTCCATATCCACCTCAACAACCGCAAATAACACACACACCCATCCCATAAGCGAAACCCACAGCCCAACCCAAAAGGCATGCTGACTTTCAGGCCACACTGAGGAACTTATGAGCAATATATTGCAAAAAAAATATTATTGCAATATACAGTTTTTTATCCTCTTTTCGTTCTTTGTGCTTAATCTGTGCATTCTTTTATTCCTTTTCTGTTTTTGTATGTAAGAATTCATGGCCTGAGCTTCTTGGAGTGGATGGTGATTATGCAAAAGCAGTACTGATTGAGAAGCAAAATCCTCTTGTCACTGCTGTGATTGTTCCGTTCCACAAGGTTCATCTGTATGTAATCTTAAATTTTCAGTGACGGGGTTCAATCACTGCTGTGATTGATGATATTTGACTATATATCTTAACTTTTGCCTTAGGTGAGAGCCACTAAAATTAAAATTCATTTTTCCTTAAATTAACTAGCTATTTGGCCTGCTGTCTAAGGTCCAAAAGACTTTGGCCATTTCTCTGAGTGGAAATACATCCCTTTCATGGTTAGACACTTAGACTCAGATTAGCTTTATTTTCAACGCTTCTTATTGCCATTTCATGCATGAGCCAGTCTATATATAAATTGGTTCTCGGTTTTGTACTCAATTTTACATGCCTTTAGGATAATCTTTTATGTGGTATATCTAAGGGTGGTCGGATTCTGCCTTGTTATTAAATCAAGGTATATACTGAGACAATTAGAGGCTAACTTCTTGGCTCAATTAGAGGCTATAGGCCCAGATTCGACTGCCATTCTTTATTGCCTAAATTTGAAGGACAAAGTATAAAATAGTGTAGGCTGTACTCACCAAAAATGGTAGAAGGTGTAGTATAATATGGCCATGACGTTCTTACCCCCCAAAAAAAAAATCATGTATTAAATATTGCTTTCGGTTTCAGAGTTGTTAACGCAAGAAATTGTTATTGCAGAATTTAGATATTTTAATATATTATGTATAATATTGTCCATCTTATGCCATTTATTCGAACGTGTAAAATACAATTACGACTAAACGAATTAAGTGATAAAAATAAAGAGAATAATGCTCCACTTCATCTGAGAAAGACAGGAAAAATAAGGATTAGCTGTCAAGTTAATCCTAACACTCATAATCCTAACGTCCATACTATTCTCTTTGGAATACGGTGTCGATGTTGAGCCGTCAATTCAAAATTCGCAGACATTTGTCCCCTAAATTAAATGCCAACCTCAAGAACAAGCTTTTTAGTTAACGGTACCAAGAGTCAAGGTCAAGGGTGGCTTACAGGGTGGAAATCTTGGGCCGGCATGAATACTTTTCGAGGTCTGAAGCCCAAAAAAATAATTGGACTAATTGACTCCGGCAGATTTGAATTTTGAACCTCAACTGATAGAATTTTTCCAACTCGACTCGAGTGAACGAAACTAAAGATGCGTTTGATAAAATTGATGTTTAAAAATTGAAATCTGAAATATAAAAAATTAGTGAATTATTAAGTATTAAATTGATACATTTGAGTGTATATCACATTAAGTTTTGGTTATCAAACGCATCGTGTCTGAATATGTTAAAATCTGAATTTATTAAATTTAAATGTTAAATTGAATTATTAAACGGAGCCTAAGACGACAACCCGATTCATTTCTCGTTTTTCATTTTTAACTATAGTAATAATGACGAAACAAATATAGCTCTTATTCATTTTCTTTATACATAAGTGGGTCCAGGTGTCGATGGATCCAAAGTTAGCTATAACTAAAAGGCAAGAGAGAAAATTAAACCATCAAAATCATAGTCGTTTCTGTCCAGACGAAACTATATGATAAAAAAAAAAATGAAGATTAACAATACATATACATATATATATTGCAAACATTACCCAGGTATTCAGCCGGTCACCATATGAGTTAAATTGATATTTCATTGTCTTCATAAATATTGTTATAGTAAAAAAATGCACCTATAATTATGATAAAGATAAGAATTAATCATGCATATCCTAGTACTATACACACTAACATCTTTAACGCAAGGTATGTATATAAAAAATAAAATAAAATTCAGATTCAATTTAAGATTAAGTGGCATATATTTGAGAGTGCTAATGTATACAACATTAATTCTAAAGATAACACTGTGTGATTGCGAAACAAAAACCTATTTAAGTACTATTATACCTTTATTTTTATTAAAAATAAAAAAAGCACTACTAAACTTAACAACAATCTTGGTTGCTAAATTGACCCACTCTCTTAATGTTCAAAAAACTTCTTATCACATATAAATGTACACAAAGTATCATGAAATCTAATGCAATCAGAAACTGGAAATTGAAAGAAAGATTACAACGAATCAGCATTTCCAGCTACTCTTTGACCCTTCCACCATTTGTCTGCTCTCTTGTTATTTTTTTTCCCTCTTTTTCGGCAAGCAATCTCTTGTTTTTTCCGGAGGACCATGTCAATCAAAGTTTCCATATATACATTTTCTCTGGCCATCCGACAAACATCTTCGACGTGTAAAATTGCTTTTATCTTGTCTGCAATTGATGCTTTCATGGCCTAAAACTGACAATCAAATCCGTCCAATGGGCTTCGCTCAGCATCATTTCACCAAGTAATTAAAATAGGTACGACGTACGAGATATGCATTATTGCCTTGATGCCTTCCTCTGTCTTAACGTTACAAACTTACTATCGAATGCTACAAAATTTGCTGGCCATCCAATTCTAATTGTACTAATTAGGATACAATTTCTTCTTTTTTTTTTTCTTTTGGATGCTCGAATTCATCTTTTTCCGGCTATAAATAGAATACCCAAGCCCTTGTTGAAGCCACAAGCACTCGTGAAACATCAAAAGGAAGGTCAAGAAGAAACTAGCACTCAAAGAAGCATCAACAATGTCTGAGTGCCCTGCAGGTAAGCTTTCGTCAGTCTTGACAACAAGAATAGAGTAATAAGACTGTTTATAGTCATGAATTCTTGAATTAAGAACCCCTCATTCTTTTATCCTACTCATTTTTATATAGTGGCAAAAATAACTCATATCACATATAGATGAAGTCTACTCGATGCCTTAAGGCACAAGATGTGAAATGTGGATTACATGCATGTCACTTTTTTCATAAATGTATTAACTTTTTCCAAAAAGAAAAAAAAAAATCATACACAACCCAAGGGAGGAACGGGTATTTTAGAGTTTTTTTTTAAGTCAAAAATCTTTTTTTTTGTATTATATTTCGTGCCATGGCGTACGATTTAAAGAAAAAAGAAAGAAATCCATATAGTTAATGGTATGGAAATTATATTACATTTGGAACCGTACCTATCCTTGTGCTAAATTAGAAAATAATTCTAGTACTACTTTCTTATCCTCTGTGAAGGCAAAAACTCTTGGCCTGAGCTAGTAGGGGAAGATGGAGACATAGCCGCGGCGAAGATTGAGCAAGAAAACCAGAGAGTGAAAAAGGCCATCGTTGTGGATGAAAGTGCAATTGTCACCACCGATTTTCGTTGTGCCAGAGTTTGGGTCTTCGTAAATAAAGAAGGCAAAGTTTCTGTGGTTCCCAAAATTGGTTAATTAACCAAAAGTGGCACAAAGTTTCCATATTTGGGCCTTGGCTTTTTTACCTTACAATATTTCAATTTCTGAATTTTCGAAGTGCGAAGTCATGCATGGCTTCATTCACGCATGCGTCCTCGTTTGATGTTTTCTTTCATGTTATTCACGTACTTGTGATATGTGTGGTTATTATATATATGGAAGTCAATTTAGTTATGGTGCAATTGATCTTTATGAATAAAAATTAAATTAATTTCGCTTAATGCGTAGTTAAGATGTAAAGTCATCAAAGTGTGATTGATGGTTTAGTAGCAATATTTGAATAAACTAGTACTTCGAATTTGTTGGGGCTAGATCAAGAAAATTAATGATTTGTCTGTCTAAGTCTAACTTGATGGGCGCATTTGCATGTCTAAGGGGCAAAAGAGAATGAAAGTACCCATTGTAATTTGTAGTTGGACGGACCCCTCATCTTGTGGGAGTAACCATTCATGTTGATCGAGCAAATTTGGTATATATATATATATATATATATATGGTCAATAAATTTGAGTTTGAAAGGCCAGTTATAACAAAGAGATCGAAGAATACAATTTAGCATTTTCCCTAATTAATTTGTATTGTGACAATCATATATTCATTCTCAAGTTTTCTTCATCCGCCAGCTTAAACTCAAACTATCTATCACTCATTGGATTGAAAAATCTGCGTCTTCATGTAGAAATTAACATGTTCCTATTCAAACTCGTGATCTTGGCCAAGTCAACAGCAAAAAAATCAATTCTGGGCTAAAGTCAAAGAAACACATAGCCTCCTTCCTCCCTCCTAGAATAAAACACATAATTAAACTTACACTTAGTTACTATAAATATAAATTCATATTTCATAATCCAACATCCCCCATTCTCAAATCCTGTTTCTCCCCAGAACCCATATTCTCAATTTCCTTTGTCCTCATATCCCTCATTAAAGCCCTCATTCAGGCATCACAAGAACATGTCTCTCTCAAGGAAATTAATCCTCAGATTAATGTTGATTTTGTGCATAATCTCCTTCACCTCGACAAGTGTAAACCCAGCAGAAGCAATTAGGCCCTTCAATATTGTGGTTCAACAGCTAAGCAAAGGAGAAGGTACAACAACATTAGCAATCGAAGCTCTTCCTAAAGGTCCCGTGCCACCTTCTGGTCCATCTCCTTGCACTTACATTCCTACTCCGGGCAATTCAGGCATATGCCGCCGTTTGCAAGGCAGTATGAACTTCGCTGGCCGTGGTACCGGTATGGCCGGTCGGACGGTGGCTGTCTGAAACAGCCCCTTTGGTGGCAATGAGTATGTTTGGATAGTCAATATTTGGTTCTAAATTATTTGTTTGTACTACAAACACAGTTTTCAATACATTTTTTTTTATCTTTTCAATCACCTTTTTTATCTCATATACATCACATCACAAAAAGTGCTACAGTAATTATTCCAAATAATATTTCAAATAATATCCTATCCAGATGAATTTTGTAGTAGCCAATACATTAACCTATAAAAAAAAAAAAAACCATATCCAAGGACAAATATGACATGGGAGTTTAACAATTAATAGCAAGGGAATCAGCACATTCTTTTTTTATGCACTTGTAGAAGTATTTCTTACAAGAGTTCTTCTTCCCCCTTTTTTTTCATATCCAATGAAGCATGGTATGATATGAATTGCAATACAGTGGCCAAGTACAAGGAATTATGATTCCTTGATTTTTTTTTGTTAAATTATTCCTTAATCTGAGAAACTTGCAACAGAGAAAACACCCCACAATTTTTAATCCGTAAGTCATGTGTGCACTAGTCTAACCTATTCCTTTTTAAGTTATAGATTATTACCTATACCAAAATTTTTGATCTTGCGAACGTTATTATAATAATAATTATTATTTTGTTATAATAGAGTAGTTAGAGACTGATCTTCGCTTGAAAGGTTATGAAACCTAGGTGTTAAAAAACAATTTCTGCGGCGTTTTTCTTTCTTTGTGTGTGTGTGTGTGTGTTTTTTTTTAAATTTTTTGGTCAATATCAAATCAAGTTTCGTGCTCAAAGGCAATCTTGAATTTCAACTCAAGAATAAATTAAATAGAAAGGTAATCTGGTCAGGGCAGCTCTCAAAATTTTTTCATGCATATATTATTGGATGAAGCAGTCGAACATGGACTTTTGGACTCAAGGGGTATATTCTCTCTTGAATCTGAACTGTTGAAATTTCATCCATTTTGGACTATTCTCTTGCCTTGTACGCCAAACCAGATGTTACTTATTTTTAATTAAATCTACCAAGTCGGTGGCTTAGAACTGGTATTTACTCCAACGTAGCTCCTAATACCAACTGAAGAGATAGGGGAAGTACAATTTTCCGAGAATAATTGCCAACTGAAGAGATGGATATATGTGCATAATCTCTATTGATATCTAGAATCCATTATATACAACCTTTCATTTTTATCTATCTATCAGTGCCGTCCAATATCTTGTGAACATTTTCCCCATTGTGAGTCCATATATACCTTTGAAGAGAGTAAGAAAAAAAAAACCAACATGAAAAGGAAGCAAGTTTATTAGGTTCAATATCCTTCACCAAAAATTTCAAATCACGCAATTTTTTTTATCTGTGAAACTTGAGAAATATACCAAGTGATTTTTTTTTATATATAAATAGAAAGTTTTGAACCCGTGATCTTTCACTTATACTCCTTTCTTCCGTACCATCCAACCAATCTCTCACCCTTGTTAGGTAAAATTTAATTGACATATTGCATACAACTTTTTTTTCCCACTAGATCGAGGCTCGTTGATAACATCTAAGGATTGCTAATTACATACCAAAATTTGATATTACTGAGTTTTAAAAAAAAATTGTGAAACTATGAGGCGACCTTTTCATTCGTGATGCTTGACTTTGGTATAAGTTAGGGTATTAATTAACTGTTTAAAGAGCTCTTTCATGGAGTGAAGACTATAATCAAAAATAGCCAAAGCAGTTTCCACGATGTCTGGAAACCTCACAGTTTAATTGGTTAAAACGCTCCGTAGATTAGTCAGCATATCATTCCTCATTTACCAGAATCGCATTAAGCATAAAAGATAAAACAAGGATGCCAGATTTGACCAGTTGCTGCAATAATATTCATAGAAAGACTCCTTCATATTGGCAAGCATTTCTGACCAGAAGTTAAAAAAAAAAAAAAAAAAAATTTACTTGGTTGGTCTACCAACTAAACTCGGCATTTTCTGCCTGTTTTAAACATTCAGTCATCCAAGAATTTATTAATTGCACGCATACGCTATGTAATTGTTTAAAAGTCATCTGTGGCCTACTTATTAGTCATTCTCCACTAAAAGACTGCATCTTTTATTTGAGATTAATCATCTCATTCCAATCCCAAAAGTTCCCAACTCAAGAAATGAAAATGAAACAACATTTGACACTACCTCTTTCTGAAACAAGCTAGATTCATCGCATCTCATGATTGCTTGGAATTTTGCTTGGGAGATAAAAAAAAAGAAAAAAGAAAAAGAAGAAGATGGTTTTCCCATGGATGAACAAGCATATGTCCAAAATGATCATCATCACTATGCTTGCTCCATCTTCTTTAATTTATTCATGGAGATCAAGAACAAGTGCGCAGCTAGCTGATGTGCACTAAATATATGGTGCCGTGCCCATTTGGGATTTACTTTTTAGTCAGCATGTATTTTTCAGTTCTCATGAATGCAAATGGTCAACTGGTGGCGCCAATATCTAGCAGTTGTGTCACCGGACAGCAGTATACAAACAGTTTTCGCCCGAACAACCCAGAAAATTTTTCATCTTTTCTTGTAGCCTCCGAGAAGAACAAATGGCGAAATAGAAAAAAATAAAATAAAATAGAAGATCAAAAAGATAGACAAAAACATATATGATTTAGTATATTAGGATAAAGTGAATCTATGGTTACGAAGCTACTTCAATATCTCATGTTCAAATGATGGACTTGAAGCAAGTCCCGGAGAATACAGCTTGCTTTTATGAAACATTCGTTTGTCCGTGGATTGTAAAACTAAGAATTGCAAAGATCAACCAGCAAAGAGATAATTGAATATATATGTATATATATATTTTTTCATTTCAAAAGAATAACAAGCTGATATATATACAACATGAGTCTACAAATTAAGAGATCAAAGAACGAAAGAAAAGAAAAGAAAAGAACATCCTGTAAAAATCAATAGAAAAAGTAATTAAAAAAAAATACCAAAGGAGAATGCGCCATATTCCCCTTATGGAAAGATAGCCTTTGCTCCTAAAAATCACCTCAGACATGGAAAATTCAGTCTGATATGTAAAACCCATCTCTCAAACAAGTCAACTTGAAGGATGAACTTCATTGCTGATTAGAAGCAACACCAAAGCGAACGGCGGGCTCTGGATGTGCTCTACCACGCGGCAAGGCGCTACCGGCGAAGTTCATTTCTCTAATCGGGCAGCCTGATCCTCCACTTCCGGGGATGTTGGTGCAACCGGAGGGATCAGAGGGAGTCACTGGACCCTTTGGAAGTAACTGAAATAGCATATGAGCTCTCTCCATCAACTCCTTTTGTTGGACATGCAAAACCCTACTTGATTGGCCTAGCTGGAGATGGACAAGAAGAACAAATGTTACTACCAAGAATACAAAGCTAAGACGTCCCATTTTGATGGTTTAATGAAGATAGTGTTTGTCTGTTGTTATTGTTGGACCTTGAGGGATTTATATACTAGGTGTTTGTTTATTTAAAGATCATGGAATTTGACTGGTGCTTATAAAATATTTTTGTCATTAGTAAACTTCTGAATATTGAATGAGTCGATTTTCTAATTTGACCTTACATAATCTCTCCTTTGATTATGTGTGAATTGCCAACTAATGAGAGTTTGTTTTCAACTTGAATCCCACGGTTTCCATGATTCCGTGCTAAAATCATCCTCGCTTACGTGTATTTGAATTCCCAGGTTTGATTGTTGAGTGGAGAGGGATAAGTATAGTTTGAATTTGTAACATGTATTCTTTTCTTACAGGGTTGAACTACATCTTTTCAGTACAAAATTGAGATTTTGGAAAAGCTTCTCTTACCGTCAGTGTCAAAGTAATGTTATAGTGATGGCTCACTGTATTACATCATCTCATTAATGAGATTGGGTAATCCAAAAGGA